GGCCAACCCTCCGAGAGAAAAGGACGGAGGGACGCAGAGACGACCCGGACGGACGAGGGCTGCGTCTGCAGGGACAGACCCGGGGGCGAGGGGGAAGGGGGAAGGCGTCTAACCAGCAGACACGCGACCGGGATTTGCCTCCTCGATTTCCGCCGTCTCTCTGCGTCTCGGCTGAGAATCTCCTCGAGTGGCGAAATTACTCCCGCTCCACAACTGCGGCCGCATCCCTCGTTAAGAATAAGGCCTACAGTGCAATGAGAAACCCGTCTCTTCCCTCCGACTCTACTTTTAAAGACTCCGTGAAAAGGCAGATGAGGCTCTGACCCAGCCTTGTCTAGTGTGACCTTCCCACAAACAGCCAGCGCCGCCCCCCTCCCACCCTGTTCCCCACTGAGGAGCCCGTCTGCTGTCAGAATTACACCCCAAAGGACCCTGTCACTGGAGAGCCCCCCGGCCCGGGCTCAGCCCCTCCTCGTCGGCGGCCACGCACACTTATTTTGCTTTCCGGTGACCGCAGCGCATCCTCCCCTGCTGGGCACTGCGTGTCTCCGGAGCTCCGTTTCTCGGCTCGTGCCCGCAATGGAAATTCTGTCATCAACCCCGAATACGCAAAGCCCACGGCCTCACAAATGAGAATCAAAGTACCCACTGTCCGATGCATAGAATTCATTCCTTTAAAATAGTGTTTTATTTTTAGCAACGCTCGTTGCTGACCGCATCGAATCGGTTGGCTCGGTCATCAGTCAAGCATTTATTTACAAATAAATATTGAGCACCTCGTGCAGTAACAAGAGCCAAGACTCTCTAGGCAGCCAGAACTGAGTTCAAATTTTAGCTCCATTATTTAATAGTTTGGGGATATGGGGCAAGCGACCTGATTTCTCTGAGCAGACGTTTCTACACAGTCAAATGGGAATAAGAAGACGTACCTTAAAAGACGTTGTGAAGTGTAAACAACTTTTGAAACATATAGTTTTGGTTCAACAAATGTTCTCTCCTTGTTTTTATGTGCTACGGAGCTTAACGATGAATAAGAAATAGATGCCCTCCAGGAGCACCTTATAAGCTAAAAAGGGGAATGATTCAACTTAAAGAGATAATTAGAATACGTTTAAAAAGTGGTTAGTGATTGAAGAGATAAAGGAGGCTATCTGGGGTCAAACAAGACAGCGTGTCTGGGTGGGGAGAGGGTCCCAGAAGACTCCGCGGGGGAAGCAGCCGTTGGACTGAGCTGACCGAGCCAGGACTCGGAAGGCAGGCGAGAGGCAGGCACCTGCTGTAAGAGGTAGAAGGGGCTCTCCAAACGCAGAGGACAGGTGGAGCAAGGGATGCCATGGCGATGACAGCGATGACGGTGACCAGGACAGTAGTGACCACAGCGCTGGTGCCGAACACTCAGTCCAGCTGAGTGTGTCCCGGGCACCACGCTATGATTTTACTCACATGCACTGCCTTCACCCTCATCATGATCCTGGAGGAAACCGAGGCGCAGAGATGTTAGTTCTTGCTCAGGGTCACAAAGCTAGGGAGTAGCCAGGTAGCACTCAAGGCCAAGCAGTCTGCCCTTGAACTCGCCCTCGGAGCCGCTACCCAGACTACTCTCTGACAGCGGCAGCAGCGACGGAACGCATTGCCCAGGAGTCCACGAACTAACAATCATCTTCACGAATTCCTAACTTCAACCTTAAATCAATGAATAAATATGCACTTTACCCCTGTATTTTCATGTCTGATAATGAAGGCAGAACCCGTTCAACATCATTAGAGGACTGTAGTTACTCATTTATGTTGTACAATCATTTCAGTACATTGTAATCGGAACGGACTCCTCATTCGGGAAACCCTGCCGACATTCGCTGCAAGGTAGCCGACAGGTACGTCCAGGTATCACAGTGCGTTTCCAAGGGTAATCTTCTCTCAAGTTTCAGAAGATCTTAAAGAAAAGACTTGAAAAGGAAGAGAAAAAGGGAGGGAGGAAAAGAGAAGGCAGAGATCTGTCAGTGAGCCGGCAGATGGGAGAGGGCGACGTGGTGGGAGAAGTCTCGGAAGACCTGGGGCCCTCATTCCCACTCCCCCCCGAGTCAGCTGCGGGCCCTTCAGCAGGTCTCTCGACCTTTCAGACTCGGGGCACTGGAGTTTTGTTTTTGTTTTTTTTAACCTTCACCCAAGGATATGTTCATTGATCTTAGAGAGAGAGGAAGGGTGGGAGGAAGAGAAACATCGATATGAGAGAGGAACACCCACTGAGTGCCTCCTGTACACACCGAGACCAGGGCAGAACCTGCAGCCTAGGTGTGTGTCCAGACCAGGGACCAAACCCGCAACCTTTCGGTGCATGGGATGAGGCTCCAACCAGCTGAGCCACCTGGCCAAGGCGGGGCGCTACAGTTTTAAGATTCTCTGGCTCTGATTTGATGACCCTTGACAATCATACAAATTCAAAAGCCCTGCAATCCACATTCAGTCACCATTTAATGTCTTCATTTGATACTTCATTAAGATGTGATGACTTGGTAAGTTTCTAACATATATTTTTGGAGAGTCACTCTTCATATTTGCAGTAAACGAGAGCCCTGACAGACAGGTGACAATCACCGGAAACAGCGGTTTCTACTAAGCTGCTGAAGCTCTTGCAGCAAAAGGAAGCCACGAGCAAAGAACCCACTTCTCACCCTTTTTACCCAAAGCCAGAGTTGCTTGCTCCCACACACTGGAAGCTCACTCCTAATGTTCCATGGCCTTAAATTTACAAAAACAAGTATGAAGTCTTTTGGATTTATCATAGATATGCCTACATCAAAAAGACACTTGCAACAAAAGTAATCTCACTCCCTAGATGCCAAAAAAGGTAACCATTTAGTTAAAACAGTGCCCTGTGATATGGCAGCAGGTAGCATTTAGAATGTCCTACTCTCACGAGTTAAAGCTTGGATATTTTTTGATTCCTGAAAGAGACTAAAATTTTAAAGATTAGGTATGATAGCTGGTTTCATTTAGAAACCAAGAACGTAGTTTAATCACCTGTGTGATTATCACCACTTACCTTCATTACGAGAGTACATTATAATTGGTTTGATCGTTGGATTTGTCAACTACACAATCAATACCAATCAAGCAAAATGAAATGCTTAAGGAACCAATGGCAGGAAACGGAAATTCTTTTTCTCAAATAATTATCACAATTTTAATATAACTGGCTCATATGTGGAGATAAAATCCTGCAAGTGTTGAAGTGATTTGAAATATGCAAGAAATTGAAGCTGGAAAGAGTAAACCTGGGGGAGGGGTGATGAGGATGGTTACCTCCATTATCCGAGGGCATTTAATTCTGTGTGGACACTCGGTCACAACCCCTCCCCCCCCCACGCTCAACCACAGGTCCCTAACATTCACAGAGTAATCGCCAGCGTCCCCGGGTAAAGAATAAAAGCCTGCAATAACAGTCTGGAATAATGATTATTAGATTAACCAAGAAACTACGTTGGTCTTGAATCTATTCATATTCCGAAGTTTGAAAACTCTATGAATACATTTTCAAAGAAGGAAAACATAAAGCGTTTGGAAACTTTTTAAAGAAAACTGCAGAGTAAAAACATTCCGTTGTTAGAAATAACACACTGTTTAATTTTCTGGCATTGTGGTCATCATAGCTGCAGACTGCTGGTCTGGGTCATTTCAGTAGACACTTAGGGAGGAATTAGATGAGAGGTTTTTCCATGCCCCAAGTAAACATAGGAAAACACAAAAGTGTCATTTCTTTCTACTCCACTAGAGGGCAGCCTCTCAAAACTAGGGCTCCATCATGAATTTAGCCTATTTTTGACCTGTTGATAAATTAATCCCATGTTTCATTCTTCTCCATAACGTGGTTTACTATTATGCTAACTAAGGTTGTACAACGAGCATGTTTAAAAATTGTTCACTATTTACTCACAGATGTTCCTTCAGAAATACACAATGTTATGCTTTTCGGTGTTTCCCCCAATTTCTGATAATTCAGTAAGTCTTTTACCTAATTCAGTGTACACAGCGCATTTTCCTGGAGAATATACATTCAGAGTTAATAGGTCTAAGAACAAAGAAAAATCGTTTTCTTGAGTATTTAATATATTGCGGTTGAAATAGTGCCCCAGAATGGTAAAACATACACCCTAAACACACGCACACGCACACACACACACACACACACACACCCAACACCCCCACATGCTCCGGCTCCTATGTGGCTGGCAGGTTCATCGCATCACATAAGGAGAAGTGAGTGGATGTAATTGGAAATACCTATTTTTCAAAACACCCCCTCATATGCCAATGTTGTGAACACGCTTTATTTTTAAAAAGCTGGTCAACCCAGAGAGAAAATGCCACTGCTTTAAAAACAACGTTACTGGGCAGCAAGCGCCTCTGCTGGAACCGGGAGAACCTATGGCGAGGCAAGGGCCACTCCAGCAGCCCCGGGCGGCTCTGCTCCAGCGACGCGGCTCTGCCTCCTCTCCCGGAACTTCCCGGAGAAGGAGCTGGAGCCTCTTGGACCCTCCCGGGGGCTGGGGGGGGGGTGGGGGGGGGGTGGGGGGGTACCATGGGGGCTGGGGGGGTGGGGGGGGGGTACCATTTGGGAAATTCTTCTAAGTAGTGTGCCCAGCTATTTTCAGAGAGGAAACAGTTTCTCTGAAAGACTGATAACCTAAAAAGGAAAAACTTGTCCAAAAAATTCCTCCCCCCTCAAAAGGCGGGGGGAGGAAGGGTGGGAAGAAGGCAGGGAGGTGGGGGAGGGGGGAGGCAGGAGGGAGGGAGGCAGGCAGGCAGGGAGGGAGGGGCGCGGATCCCCAGAAAATGTGCGAACCTGTTTCATTTATTTCATCCTCAGCAGCAGCGACACGGGACAGACAGGCCGTCCCAGCCAACCAGGCGGGAGCAGCCGCGAGCGCCCCCTCCCGGCGGCCCGGAGCCATTGGCTCCTCCCGGGCGGTGGAGGTGCTCCGTTATTAATGACCGCCGAGCTGGCAGCACCATGTCAGCGCGACCGCTGACGGGCTGAGCGATGCGCCACTAGCCGACCGCCATGCAGACGGCGAGCGGGCCCGCGGGCCCCGGGGACCGGTCCTGCCGGCGCGGGGAGCCCCAGCCGGCCGACTGAGCGCGACTGCGGGACGGGCGAGGCCGTCCGGGCAGCGGCCGCGGCCCGCCCCCCTTCCCATCGGGGAGCGCAGAGCTGGAGGCGGGCGTGTGTGGGCGCGCGTGCACACACCTACAGCACATGCCTGTGTGTACTCGATCACACACACACGCACACACGCGCGCACCTCTTCACGCCCGGCAGGAGCACGGCCATGTGATCCCCGCGGCTCGGGAGCCGGCCGATCCGCACGCAGGGGCGCCGGGGGGCTGCTGCGCTCGCCGCGCCGGCTTCGCAAGGTAAGTTGGAGACGTGCCTGCCTCCGGAGGAGAGGGGCTGCGCCTCTCCTCGCTGCCGGATCCGGCGTGTGTTTCCGCGGCTCGGTTCTGCGGCGCCGCTCTCTTCCGGCCGGGGTTCCGGGGGCCCTCCTCGCTCCCCTCTCTCACTTCGGAGAAGAAACGGACACGCAGGAGCCCCCGGGCTCCGCGCCTGCCCGGCCGGGCGTGAGCGCTCGCTTCCCCTACAGGCGGGCGTTCGCGAGCCGGCGGCCCGCGGAGGACGGGCGCGGGGGTGGAAAGCAAGCGCCGGCGGGAGGAGAGGGGCAGGGGGAGCGACAAGGAGAGAGGGGGAGGGCAGGGGGCCGGCCGGGCTCCCCCTCGCCCCCTTTTCTTCGCGGTATGGGGGAGGGCCGGCGGAGCGCCCATCCCCCCAAACGGGGCAGTTTTCTCCCCGGCGCCCAGCGGAGGCAGGGGAGGCGCCGCCGCGGCTGCTGTGTGTCCAGAGCTGGAACCCCAGCGCCGAGTGGGGAATGAGAGTGTCGCCGACAGTTGCTGAATTTCTGCCAGCCTACGGCTTGCGGCTCGGGGTAGACGACTCCCCTGGAATAACACCCCCCCCCCTCGCTGGTGGCGGCTGGTCGGGAGGGACGGCGCACCCGTCTGATTGCTAATGCAGCTGGAAGGGACACGCAGCGGGCGAAGCCATCCCAGCAGCCGGCAGAGTTCCTGTCGTCCCCGGTAATGAACAGCCTCCCCGCAGGGCGGCTTTGAGGCTGGGCTCCCATTCCAGAGGCTTGTTTGCTCCAGCCCACCGCCCCGTTCCCTCTGCTGGCACGGAGCTGGATGGCTTCACCTGCCCCTAATTTATTCGATTTTTAACACTATGTCCTTGTTCCCGAGCCTCGCATTTCGGGGGGACGCAGGCTTGCGCGTGTGAGTAGGACCTCCCTAGTCTGGTGAAAAGGGGGCACTATGAACAATAAGAAGGGAGGAAGTAAGGGTGGGAAATATCCACGGAGGGGGCAGGGTGCCCCCGGTCCTGCAACTGATGCCGCTCCTTGTTAGTTTCCGAAGCGATTCCTGGGAGACGGAGTTACTCTCAGTAAACGAGGGGCATCCATGATTCATGGATGATTCACGCAACGCGGTGGGGTTAATTCATGCCTCCCGTCTCGTAGCAGGGCGCCGCTAGCAGGAGGGCGCGTCCAGACAGACCAGGCCAGTTGGGGGTGCTCGCTGCCCCCTTTAATGGGCCCCGTAAAGACGCGGGCACCCGGGGAGAACGTGCATTCCGTCTCTGAGGCCCTGGCCTTCCTGTAGTCCCACTAACCCAATAGTTAATGGAGTCGGCTTCTTTCAAACTGCAGGCGATTTTTTTTCTCCCTACGACTGTGATTTCTGAGTTATCATTGGTTCCCTGGTTTATGATAGGAGCCAAAAAAAAAAAAAACACCCACCAAAAGATAACAACCAGCCACTTAGATCCTGCCACTTTCCCGTAAATGTGTCCAAAAAATGAGCCGATTTACAATATGGAATGTAAGGAGCCAATTAATTCCAGTGACCTTTGTAAATGGTGACAATAAAGCAGCTCTGACAGCGAGCCAGCAGCTTTGATTTTCCCCGTGCGGAGTGAGCAAGTTTAGGGAGAGGTCTCCGGCGCCCACGGGAACGGATGGGGATGAGGCTGAGGCTGAGGCTGAGGCTGAGGCTTCAGCTCGTGGTCCTGGCAGGCTGGCCCCGCCTGCCCCGCACGCACATGCAGCCCGTCTACAGAAAACACTCGGTGATTTATTGCAGAGAGGAAACGCCGTTCCGTCTGCGTGTCTGCTCCTCGGTGGAGGTGCCGCGGTGGCCGCAGAGCGGCCCTGGTATTTGGGGGCGCCTCCTAAGTTCCTAGCCTGGGGGACATGCTTGCAGCAGCCAGCCAGCCCCCCGGCTTCAAACTCCCGTAGCGTGCAGCACTGCAGTATTGACTTCAGCCTTTCTCAGACCTCTTCCGGGGAAACTTTCCATGCCAAACACACGCATTCTCAAATCCCGCCCGGCCTGTGGTGAAACTGCAGCCAGTGACACCCAGGAACAGCAGGTGCACGCCGTAACCTTGGCGAAGCTCACAGGCGTGTATCGTGGATCACAGGGATCAATGGTGTGTCCACGGGAGTCTGAGAAGTGCCATCAGTCCAGGCCCCTGGGGGGGCTGTCACCTGGTGCGTGTGCCAGTGAGTCTGGCGATCTGATCGGCACCTGCCCACGGCAGGTGAGGAACACATGAGCTCACCTGGGAGACGCAGCTAGGGCCTGGCCCCGTGCCCCCCCCCCGCCCCCCCGTCACAGAGCTACAACAGAAATAATCGCTTTCAGGCAACACAGGCTTTGAAGGGCCAGCTTTTCGGGGTGTCCCTTGTCACAGGCAGCCTGCTGAGTTAGAATACTGATGAGTACGTGGAATTTTTTCTCTGGTCGTGGTTGTTGCTGTTAACGGCTTCATACATGGTATTATCCGCCTTCTGGGCCGGCAGTTTAGGGACCGATGAAAAAGGTGATTAACTTGTGATTCACTCACTGTATTTTATTCTTTCTTTGTTCTTTTTTCACGCCTACTGCTTTTTTTCCCCTTGGCCACATTATGGGGTTTATGTTCTGCTTTCCCGCGCCCCCTCTCTGAGTTTGCTCTGGGGGCAAACTGCTGTGTGATCTGGCACTGTGATGTGTACGGCGAACTAAGTGGATCGGAAAGGTTGGAAACCTGAGTTGAGAAAGCAACACCTCTGTAAGTTAGATGCCATGACTCAGTTAGTAGCCCCCGAAGGGGGTCACAGAGGAAGTGTGTGTTGATGAGTCGGAAGGCCACTGAAAGGAGGCTAATGGCACGCTAACGACAGGCCCCTCCCTGCAGCCTCGGGAAGGGCGCCCCCCCCCCCAAGTATCCCAGGAACCAGCACTGCTCCAGCCAGCCTGGAGAAACACGGACACAGCTGCAGCCCACTCTCGGCTGTTCCGTGCAGACCTGGTTCTGAGGGTTTGACCACCTGTGCATCCCTCCTCGGTCCCGGGCAGTGAAGACGAGCAGACTAATGTGAGGCAGTGCCTCCGGAGGCCGTCCCCGCTGTCGCGGAGGGGGCTCTGACCCGGCTGTGTGGGGAGCAGCGCTCGGGGCAGCGTCCCTGGGCGGGCCACCGCGCCCCTCCCCGCCTCTTCGGATAACGTGGTGTCTGCTGGGACACCTGGGCGGTGGGACAGGATCGCAGTGGTCCCTGAGGCCGCAGTGTCAAAGGAAATCAAATTCTAAAGCAAAGAAAGTAGGTGGTGCCCAAGGACAGAAAACGTCACAGGGAGAAATCCCAGTGTTTTCTGTGACTTGATGGAAGGGGCAGAAAAAGACCCCAGGAGATGTGACTCGGAGGCCACTGAGTCCAGGGGCCCGTCTCCCACCCCAGTGAAGAGCTGTGGCGCCCACCACCATGCCACCCACCATGTCTGCGTACCTGTCAGGTGTGTGCATACCTGCTTGCTGTGGTGTTCACTTCTCTTAGGCTGCGGTGGGGGCGGGGGGTGATACTTTTAAAGGTGCAGTCCGTGAATGTGCGTTGCATTGCTTCAGCATAGGGGAATGGAGACGGGGAACCGGTTTTCATGTAATGGTCGAAGTCTAGGGTGGAGAAGGACCTTCTGTGGTTGGCCCAATGTACTCGCCTCGTAGGCGAGGAAACTGAGCCCAGAGGCTGTACCGTCGCCGCCCCAACCGCACAGCCTGGTCCTGGCGGCCCGGGGCAGAACCCTTTCCTGGGCTCCCGCATCCCCCCGCTGACATGCCGCCCCCTCGGCCTTCCAAAGACGGGATTTTTCTTCAAAAAGGGGGATCAAGTTCATAGATGTAGGCCAAAATACAATAAAATTTGTAGGAAATGTCTTTAGATACGCAACTACCTAAAAGCAAAAGCAGACATTCAACGGCAGAGGCAGTAACGATGGGTTGGGTATACGACACCCGGACACCAGAAACACATCATTCATCTTTTGGGTACGGTCCACTATCTTCTGTCGTAAAAATTAGAGCTTTGCCCTGTTTTTAAAACGCCCGAATAACAATGGTGCCATCGCTCTGCTACAGAGATCAGCTGTGGGTCATCCCCTGGGAGCTTTCCAGGAATTCTGGCGACTCCCCACATCCTCTCTGACGGGGTTCCACTGTCAGGCACTCCCCCTGCACCCTCTTTCCATACCGCGTCCCTTCCCTGGACCCCTGCTCCCCTCCCACACCACACTCGCACTGGGGAACCGGGGGCGGGGGGGGACAGCACCCCTCTCTCCTGCTCCGTCGCCCCCACCCCACCTTACTCTTCCTTTCGGAAGCTGGACTGACAGTCTCGTGGTCACCTCCTTCATCTCACAGCCCTGTTTTTTTTTCTTTTTGGCAAATGGCTCTCCATTTCTAAATAAGCTCTCCCAATTTCATTTAAGATGGTAGTCATGAACTGCCTCAAAACTCTGGGGAAGTAAGGAGGGACACACACACACACACACACACACACACACACAATACCAGCATAACTGCGAATATCTGTTTGGAGCTCTACCGTTCAGAGAGCACATCGCACCAGCCCGGTGAGGGAGGTGCAGTGATAATCAGCTTTGCTGGGAGACTGGAGGAGGAGGTTCCAAGGGGCCAGAGAGATACAGCAGTCAGGGGGCTCACGTGGGGAGCGCGGGGGTCTTCTGACGCCGCAGGCAGGCGCAGCACAGATCGACAGAGGCCCTTTGGGAGTCTGTTGGCAAAGATGCGTCCCCGCGGTCCTGAACTCCCACTCTACGCTCACGCCTCCGCCGCACCGTATCACACTCTGCGTGGATAGATGTTCACAAAGAAAAATCTGTACTTCAACCACAGCTAATGATATGCCTGAGTTAAACAAGACAGACACAACCGACATCTATTCTTGGAGAAGAAGACTGCGCCTTGTTCTACCTCCTCGCCCATATGTTTGTCTGACAGCATCAGCACTTTGATAAACAGATAC